CCGGGGGGCCGCCCCCCCGCAGCCGCTGTGGTGGGGGCAAATAAGGGCCCTGGGGGGGGCAGAGATGAAAGGGCGGCAGATTTGGCGTTATTAGTTCTTAATTACAGTCTTGAAAAGGCCGAGATAAAAAGACAGGAGGCCTCTGCCCAGGCCTGGTGGGCTCGGTGTTTGCTTAGGAGGTGCTTTCCCTTTTTTTATTCCCTTTTTTCCTCTCTCTCTGTTTGATGGAGCTCAGCAAACACCCCCCTGGCACCCCCCCACAGCGGGGTGGCCCCAGGACCAGGGAGGGGGGTGCCTGGCACCCCTGTGCTGGAATGGGATGCTAATGGCATCCATAGGTTTGGGATCCAGGTGATACGGGGCCAAAAATGGGGATACTGGTACCCCGTGGGGCTTTGGGACAGGCAGGTGGGGAAATCCCATCCTGGAGAGATGGGGGGGTTAGTAATTTCGGGGGTTGATGCTGTGCAAGCAAAGAGTACGGGAGGGCTGGAATTGGGGGGTTCGCCACCCACAAACCGAGCTCCTCCATTCACCAGGTCCGGATCCAGAAGAGGGACGGGAACCCAGGGATGGCTCCTGCCTAATTTTCAGGCAGAATTGCCCCGAGGCTCGGGCTCCTGAGCTAATTAATAACAATGCTGCTCATTAGCCCGTGGCCGGGCTGTCTGGGCAGGGTGTGGATTGTCCGTCTGCAGGGCGGTGGGGCTCCCCGGGTCCCCCCCTGTCCCCAGACAGCCTCAGGGGTGACCCCGCAGCCCCAGGGCCCCCCCTTGGTCCTGTGTCCACCCCCTGTCCTGTAGCGTCCCTCTGTCCGGCCGTTGTCTGGCCGTCCATCCCCGCTCTCGGAGCCCTTCACCCTTTGCATCCCATTGCCGATACGCCGTGCCAGTCCTGTGCTGGGGCTACGGACACCCACAATTTGCAGGGAAAAGGGGGATTTTCTACCAATTCAGCTGAAATTATTGGAAAAAAGCGAAGTGTTTGGACACCCACTGCCATCAAGTGGCTGAGGAGGACCCAGGCCTGGCCCTCAGTCCCCCCGGGTCATTTTATCTGAATCCCAGATCTCCCCCCGTAATTAAATCCACTCTTCCTTCAGTTTTATTAGAGGTCTTGTCGCCTGGATTTGGGACGCAGAGCGAAGCCCTCCCTTAAGCACCCTAAGATATGCAGCTCTGCTGCTTCTCTCGATAGACTTGACCCAGCTCTATTCCTCTTTTCTCAAGCAGGACTCATCCGTGCACAGGTCACCGCCACCGTGGGGGCTGTTTGCGGGTGCAAAGGCAGAAAAAAAGGAAGAAAAATATCATTTTTTAAACCCTGCGAATGGTTGACCTGGGGAACTCCTTGCACAGGAACTCTTGGAGGTTGAGAGCTTCAACAGAGCAGTTTCGGCAAATAATAATGTCCACAGGTGGGCGATACAGGAGAAAACACGCCGTGCCCCAAACTGCGGGAGTCCTGCAGCAGATCTGGGCGAGCCGGGGCTGGGACGGGTCCCCCCGGGGCTGGATTGAGCCCCCACTCCAGCAGACGAGCGGGATACAGAAGCCAAGCAAGAGGGATGCGTCTTAAAGGTTTTGCACCTTTCCATGCACCTGAAGGAAAACTGGTGGGTTTTTTTCGCCATAATCTTCCTTATTTCTGTTTCATGGCTTTTTAGAGCTGTGGCTCGTGGGGTTTGTGGCTGAGGACAAATCCTGCCCTGCCCTGTTCACACCGCTTTGGTCCCACTCTGGACCAGAGCTCTGTGGGACGCTGGTGGTGGCACAGCATCCGCTTCCAGCAAAGCATCCGCTGCTCCGAGCACCTGGGACCAATCCCAACGGCACCCAAAGTGCTGAGCATCTCTGACCCACACAGACCCAAAAGCATCCCAGTTAGCAGGCACCACTGTTAGTGGGTATACCAGTTAACAGGCATCCCAGTTGGTGGGCATCCCAGTTATTGGGCTTTTCAGTTAGCAAGTATCCCAATTAGTAGGATCCCAGTGAGTGAGGATCCCAGTTGGTGAGGATCCCGGTTGGTGAGCATCCCGGTTGGTGAGCATCCCAGTTAGTAAGCATCCCAGTTAGTGGGCATGCCAGTTGGTGAGCATCCCCAGTAGCAGGCATCCCAGTCAGTGAGCAT